GATGCAACTTACCTACTGATAATTATTTAGAACGCTAGTAGCATTTTTTATTGGCACAACAAAAATAAAAATCACCACTTTTTAAAACACGATATTTGGTGAGTTTAAAATTATTTATACTTAAACAAATATTTCAAAAACTACACTAATTTCTAAATCCATATTTATTAAATATAGGTTAGAGGCATAAATTTCATGTATTCACACTGACGCACTGTAAGTTCTCGAGATTCACTGTTTGTGAAAAATTAAATTTTTCCGTACTCTTTATTGATGAATTTCAACCCATCTGTCTACCGAGATAAAATATCATTAATGCCGTGTGCGTAAACCAGTTACATTACCAGTTGTACATTTAATATCACAGTGCGCCCAAGCGAGTTTCGATTTTTTGGGTAGAAGTTATAGGTAGTGCTTAAACAAGTTGCAGCCCAAAAAGCGACAGGGGCAAAAAGCGAAAAGTCATTAATACGTTAAAAGAGTCTAGGCCCTTAAAAACTGGTCGGATTTAAGGAGCAGGCACAGTGGCGGCTAGCGATAAAGTGCAATGATGTGGCGGCACTCCATAAGTACATTTTAAAATAAAACTTTATTTTCAATTATACTTCTTAAAGTAACTAAATAGGAATCACTATGGTCAATATTTCTTACGAAATAATTTAAATGATTCAGAATAAAATTAAGTAAAATAATAATATTCGAAGAAAAATATCATCCAGCAATTATTCCAATGCAATAAGAATATAATCTAAAAATTAAATGAAAGCTGAGCGACCAACGCTAACTTTAGTGCGATAATTCTCGTCCGGGATAGTCGAATTGCACTTATTACCTACAAATGAATGGTCGAATTTCACTTGGATTGAAAAAAGGTAATGGTCGAACCGCACTCAGGTAAAAAGCAGGTAGTGGTCGAACATCACTCGTTCAAAAAAAAAATTTTAATGGAAAACCCGTTAAACATATTATGAAACGAAAAGAACGCTAGCATATAAGATTAATACTTTTATTGTATACCGTATAGCGTGAACTATGTGTCTATGTAGACCTATGCAAAATACAATTAGTACACACTTTTACGTCGCTGTGTAAATATGAACAGTTTAAAAATTATTAAAATTGAATGTGGCCGTGACTTAATCGTGTATCAAAATTATACATTTTAAAAAGAAAAGCATGTAAAATGGCGTTGTACCCATCGTGATTGTCCTTCAAAACTTTATCTGGATGAATTTTCTAAAGTAATTTTTCGGTCTGAATTGATACATATTCATGAAGAACCATTTAATTTACCTCGGAGAATGATTTCAAATTCAGCAAAGAAAAAAGCCCTTCAAATGCATGATAATTTTATTAAAATACTTTTTTGAGCCCAAATGCAGTTCGACCACTACCTTTTTCAGTTTTTTACCCGAGTGCAGTTCGACCATCACCTTTTTTAAACCCAAGTGCAATTTGACTAAAATAAGTGCAATTCGACCATACCCTTCTCGTCGTATATTTTCGGCACTGCCATATCAAACTCACACGAGCCACCACTGAGTAGGCTATGGTGATTTCGAGGGTATACGAGGATATATGGCGCATACCCATTTACCATATTTTAGTGAATTCGCGTATGTCCTGTAAAAATATTACAATTAATAAGCAAATATACGCTCGAATACATTAACATGCTTAAAAATTAAGAAATCCGTAGTCTATATATAATTATTAGGGCAGAGGACTTGTAGCTCTAAAAAATCACCAAACATGCACTAAAATGTACAAAATATGCATTAAAAAATAAGATTATTTGTATGAAAATATTTTATTTAAATTTTTATGTCTACGACCGACGTCCCCGTATTAATAATATCTTATGCAGTGAACAATATCTGTAAATAAATAAAATTAATAACCGGAAAATAAATCAATCAACAACCATATTAATATGATCAAAATTGTAAATAATTTTAAATTCGACATTATTTTGGTTGTATATCAAATATTTAAATTAAATACAAATTTTAAAAATATTGATAACGCAATAAATTATTGAAAATATGCATCTTAACGTATAGAATCAAAGAAATATACACTAAAACCAAAAAAAACTCGGACATTTGTTTCTTACTCTGCTATTTTTGTGATCGTTCAATACAAATATGCAAATGCTACAACTCAACTCCGCTGCCTTAATAATTAATAATATATGTATATATAATTATGCCATTTATAACTCAGAAGTTAGAACCGTGTAACAAATAATTACGATTGGTTGTTACCACGTGTAACTGTGTAAGTGTAAAACGTATTGGTAGCATTTGAGACTGGGATTATTGCAGTTATTTTTTTTTAAAGGTTCGTTGCGGACAGAGTAATAATTATTATCATAATTTAATTTATAAATAAAAGTTATTAAAATGTTAAACATGACTTGTGGAATGTGAAATAGTTTTAACACTTATAAGTACATAAATACAAAATGTAAATAATAGCCAATAGGTACCTAGTAAAAAATGTATTTTTGTAAAGTTTGTGAATTTGTGAATGTAGTCTATAAGAGCTTTGCAAAATAATTGTTCTTGGCATTTTTAAAGGGTTGATTAGTTTGCGATTCTAAAATCAAAATAATCATTGCATATTTACATCATTGCCTTAATATCATACGTGAGAGTAACTATACCTTATTTTTTTTGAGGCGCTTGGCGAAACTGGCACAGGCCAGGGACGCAAAGCTGAAGTGGCGCAAAATCCAGAATAAAATATACCATATATTGATAGATATATATATATATGGTATTAATCATTATTGGTATTATTAATAATATACATTTTACTAATAATATGATCAAAATAGTTGTATTATTATAGATACACTATAGTGACGAGTGAGAGACTATATTACCTTATGCTTTTATAGAGTAGGTATACAAATATTACAATTATTTACAAGACGTGTTTAAAAATAATATGTCGTTAATCTTTATAATATCACGTAATATTACGCTGGGTGCCGAGTGGAAATTTTAAGAACTGTTGGTGCCGATAATATTGTGTTTATATTTGAATTGGTGGTAAGTGGTAACGTAGTAGTTTTCAAAATCGATTATTACTATTCAATATTAGCTGAATGTCCAAGTTAAAATTTGGATTCTAAATTAATTATATTTTAAAGACTTCCATCATATTTATAGGTAGGTCGTACGTAGACGGTAGGGCTATCCCTACTCCAATTACAATATTTAGTCATTTTATATTAGTCCATGAAGGGAAGAACTCACCAGAAATTCTACGGTGAGTTCTTAATTATTATAAATTATAACTATACAAAATTAAATTAATTTACTTAATTGTAGTCAATATAATCATATATATCAAAGTTGTAACTTAGGTTTTACGCAAAATAATTATTTATAAGAATGTAAATATCTAGTACCTATACAAGAAGTTGCTATTACTATTTGTTGGTTCTTATCGATCAAATTTGAATTTAAATAAGGTAAATACATTTAGATATTTTGTTCACACATTAAAAAAATAATAATACAGTTATTCACTTAATTATTAAATAGATTTAAAATCATCTAAATCTTATCTGGAGTTAAGTAAATTAAATTATATGAGTCGAACTGTTTAAATTACCTCCACGCCAATTATCTATTTTATTTATTTTAATTCTACGGACTGTTTGATAATCAAAGGTCAGATATTTATCTCTGGAGTAATTTGGACAACTGGCTTGACAATGATATCAATAAAAAAATATCTTTAATTCAGTTATTAATATTTAAACATAAATTGAATCAGTCTGAGAAATTGTATTTTCTAAAAAAGATTTTAGAATATTGAAAATATAAATTTACTTCATAAATTACATTTTAAATGTTTTTATTTTTTTTAGTATTAGCTGGTAATTGGTATGTCTGGATAGCTACCTATCCTTTTGCTATCTACGTCTTAAACATGTACGATATGACAAATATTCGTTCACTAGTTTAAATAGAGTGCTGTTTGTTTGATATTTGAGTGAATTGACCTATTATTAAATTTTTAGTTAAGAACATTATTTGTGTCGACTTTTATTCGATATTTTAATTTTCAAGCGTGATTTGAGCATTTTTAATTTGTGATATTTCACATACCCTAATCTTGCTTGAAAATTAAAATACCGAATAAATCAGAGGCCTAAGCACAGAATAATGTTAACTATTTTTTCTTGTTAAAATCATAATTATTATTATTACTAATACAAATAAAATAAAATAAAAAATGCATACACCTTTTATATGTGTGCGTATGATGAGGGGGGGGGTATTAAAACACTTTATAATGGTTTAAATATGTTAAATGGCCAGGAGCGCAAATGAACATTGCTACGGCTCTGGCGAAAATGCCACTGGGTGTAAGTGAATGTAAGCCTGTTTAAATGTACCTGCTACATTATTTTTTCAAAGGATAACTTTTCATAACATTACTGTCAACACAATAATATATATTTATTTTATGTCAACCACTTTTTCACCACCGCGAAAAGTGTACACAAAACACTATAGCAAGTCGAGAATCTTTTCGTAAGAAAAAGCCACTAAAAAAATTTCAAAACCATGATATGTTCAGGGAGCCGTACAGGTCTGAACAACCTTTTTTTGAGTTGTAGTTGTTAGTATAGACAATTTATTATGGAATATTAGAATAAAGATGATATTATTATTCCATTGAAAAATCGGTAGGCATTAAAAACATAATGATAGGTACCTCTTAAATTTAGAAAATATAGAACAACTTTATTTCATTAGTTCATTATTGTGATTGTTTATATGAATATAATATTATTTAACTAAATACAATAACACACAACACGACGTATCTACTTAATATTAGTAGGAATTTTCCAAAGAGCCCTCAGGTTGCACATTAAAGAGCCGCAGGTTTCCGACCCCTGCACTATAGACATACATACTACAATACTATGCGCGCGCATTCACTTGTTGGTCATCTTCGGGCACGATCGATCTTTTGTAATAGGACAATGCCGCCCGGAATGTCACCCAGCCGAAATAAAATAATTCTGTATTACAGTAATATTGGGACAAGCGAGTAGCGACTATAGTGGTTGTTGTAGGTGGCGCACCTTTGCAACTATACGCACAGCTGTAACGTCGAAAATTGCAGTAAAAAAAATGTCGTGAAGAGTACCTCGTGACCACCATCCACCGAAGATTCGAAGTTTCGTTTTTCCCCGTTTCACCATTTGCGTTCAACACAAGTTAGTCACACAACTTCATACACACAGGTATGTATTCAAATGTATAAATATAATAGTATACAATAGGTATTAGTGTATTACCTAATGTATTGTTAACCGTTGTAGACACTTGTATCTATTTACTTTTAACTATATGTCTATATAGCTGTGGTGGGCACCCGATGTGTTAGTAGTCAAAAAATAAATCCCAAAAAAATTGCCCTGTTGGCATATGTTCCTGATTTCAACGTTCCCGAGGGAATGTATTATGTGATATGTAGTCTGCTATCTACTTGTTTTATATTATGTGATATGCAGTCCGCTATCTACTTGTTTTATATTATGTCTATGCAGGGAACAGACCTGGGGATCTAGTAGTACAAGGTTCTAGGTGATACTATGAAACTATTAAGATTTCCACAGACGTGTTTACGGGAGAGCCTGGGTGAGCACTGCCCCCCCCCCCCCGGGAGACTCAACATCATGTCAGGATAAATTTTTCTTTATTAATGTATCTGTTTTTAATTTAGTTTTAAATGTATTTTTATTGTTTTGACAAAAGTTACACTTTTTGATTATAATTAAAAAAGATTCCTACCATTGTGAATTTTGTAACATAAAAAATGAATGTTTCTTCATGCCTAAAAAAAAATAGGTCTCACAATTAAAAAATGTGTTGTGCACGTCTTGTGCGTATGAAGATTTCCAAGAAAAAAAATTCGATACGTATCAATAGGGAATAGTTACGTACATACTCGTATCGAAGTATGAGTCCGATACGGGTCGATAGTAGTACAATAGATAGTGTTATCTACAGCCGTGGTGATACGTTACCATTTTAAGTATCAAATATGGCTTTATAACCACAGATATAGTTGTAATATGGTTGCTCAACAGGCAATTATAAAACGGCGCCAAATTTCCTTATCAAGTTACATACATATGCATACAAAAAAGTCGCGTCATGTCATACTGCCGTTCCGTTGTGGTTAGGTAAGTCAGCTGTTCTACAGTCTTGTGTATAAGCAACATGTATATATATATATATACAGCAGCTTTAGAGGGTTCAAGTCAAACGCCATATCTATGGTAAGACACTAAGACTACAATTTGTCAAATTTGATAAGAACATTCGGCGCCGCTGAATGCTGTGATTCAATATAGGCCGTCGTGCATCCATACTACCCATATCCAGGCTGACATAGATACTCGATACTCTATTTCTCATAGACCTATGTTATCCTTCATCAAAATATCCTTAACACACACATGCACACACTGTTCGTCGTGCGACTGCCCAGCAAAATCGATGTCTTTATAGTTGATGTATAAGCGACCTTTTAATGTTTCGTACTTTATTTTATTCGGTTGCAAACCAGTTGATCAATAGTCAAATGCATTATTAGTTACAGGTCTGCATTACAAAACAGTTGAACATTGTGCAGAGGGCTTTGAAACATCTTTTCTCAGATTATAGATATATTCTGCTCCATTTGTGAATAAATTACCTAGAATAATCGACAACAAATATGGGGAGCAAATTTAAGGGTTTTGAAGGATGTTTCACCATGACAATTAGCACTACTAACTATGATGCACTACGGTAAGTAGCAGTATATTATAGATACCATACGTTATAAATTATTTTACACAATAATTGTAAATGTTTTTTAGACTTTTACGAAATGCAAATTATAGACGTAAACAACTTAATATTAAACTTGCAAAAGGAACAATGACCAAAATTAATATGTTACAACAAATAGATGCCGAATTGCAAATATTAGATGTTTTTCTCAAGAAAATTGATGTAAGCTTGTGCCTTGTATATATAACCACTACTGTAGTATAATTTATACGGGGTGATTGTTTTTGATTGTTTTATTAATTTAGAGTAAAAAGGAAGCAAAAGAATGTTGTGCGATACTGAATAAGGTACTTACAGTTTTAACCGATCGCCTCAACAACACGTGGATTAATATACTTTTACTTTTCACCGTCGATGAAGTTGATCCGGAAGTTTTTGAAGTAAGCCTAAATGTTTAATACCTATTGAACATCCCGTATTTATCTGTTCTATGTTTTACTGTCTATTATATTTTCTTATGAATTATTTAAAGTGGTATATTAAGTCCAGGGCAACTGCCCATCCCTATGTCATCAGAAAAAAAAATAAACAAATTATTTTAATTTAATCAAACAAAGCCTTGAAAAATTAATTTTGAAGTATACAATGCTGTTATTTTGAATAAATTTATAAATAGTAAATCAGTTATTAAAAACAAAACAAATGAGCTTCTAGTTTTACACTTATTCTAGCATCACTATTCAATAATTTAATTTCTGTGTTTAAAGGGGGTCTGGCTCCTATAGGGCCAAGGTTGACAATACTGGTATTATACTGTCCTTCTAAGTCCTTTCTGCTACAACACTTGTTACCAAAAATACTTAATCTTCTAAATTATATTAATGGTCTTATATCACTGTTATAAATTGTTGATTTGATATTAATTCATTGTTAAAATGATTAAAACTAAAAATTGAATATAAAAAATCTAAGTAGAAAAAAATACTTATTACCTCTATATTCTTTAAAATAATTTTTAGTTGTTTGTACCAAAATTATGTTTGACTAAAGAAATAAAGTGGCAAAAACATGGATAGTAGATGTCCGTAAGGTATCATTTATAAATACTAAGATAAAAAAAACATGAAAAATTCTTCTTTTACAAAAGTATAATGTATTTTCTTCAAAATAAAATCAATTACCATAGTACTATATATACCAATGTATACTATAACCAGGGCTCAGAACGTATAGTGTTTGCTAATTTTAACGGTTTGACATTAAATCTAGCAGAGTGCTACGGAAGTGTATGTCATATTACAACACTTTTAATTATAAATTTGGAAGTTTCTCAAAAAAAAAAAAATGCTGATTCTCAGTTTTTCTGATTATTTTTGTTTCTATGCATATGTCTGCTTAATTATTATTTATGGTGAATTGTGCCACTGATAAAAACCTAGAAAGTTTAGTACATTTCTCGTTTTTTTCTTGTTTTGTTCATGGTAAAGTTAGAACCAAAAATAGTTCTTCTCCTTTCTATTATATTTTCTAGTAATAAACACTGGAACTCATTTGCTTCACTTATCTATTAATCGGCCAAAACAATCAATTTTTTTTTGATTAGGAAGGAAATTTAAAGGTTTTCATAAACTCAAAATGGCTAAAAGTTCTTTATTTATTTAAAGGTAATTTTTTTTATGTAATCAAGTGTAAAAATTAAGCAATAAATTAAAAAAATTGTGTTAATAGTTTTTGTCTTGCTTTATTTTGCTTATTTTGATGATTATAAGTGCTGTGAGTCCCAAACCCTGATTACAACAAAATAAACAGAGAAAATAATTGTTTCTTGTGAAAATGTTATTCCTAATATTAATATGTGTATATTTCCATTAATAATTCAAGTTAAAAAAAAACTAAAAATGATTTTTTAGTGCTTAGTTGATTTCTTTATTTTGTACTGGCAGTGTGTATGTAAATCAGATAGGCACACAACAGCTAAAATATTTTCTAGTAAAATAACTACTTTTAATTTATAATTATTATTATAAAAATTGTTCATAAAATATGTATTTGTTTGTTTTCAGGTAATGTCTTGCTGCAAGAACTGCAGAAATTGTAATGCAACCGTAGAAAGTATCGTTAGCAACATGGAGGTAAGTTTTAATATTATACAAATTATAAGAATTAAAATTTGAATACAAATACTAAACTATTTATGTGTTTTCCATGTTATAGACAATTTCAATTGAAGAAAATACAATTTTTAATCTTTCTTCGTCTGATTTTATAAAAATTCGTCAAACAACAGCGTTTGTAGATAAAACGTTGATGATAAAAGAAGTATTTTTTCGAAACGAGGAAATTAAAGGATTTGTTATCACGGCTCCCCGCAAGTATGGGAAATCAACGAATCTAACTATGTTAAGATATTTCTTGGAAATTCAGGTGGACTCTCTTGGAAAACCACTTTCAAAGGCAAGCGCTGAGAAACCAATTACAAACACAAGTAATTACAAATTATTTAAAGGACTTAAAATAAGCAAAGAGGTTAACATAATGAAGAAGCATTTTGGAAAACACCCAGTCTTATATGCGGATTTTAAAATGGAAAAGAATTTAAAATCGTACAATTGTGTTATTGAAGGACTTAAAAAAATAATTCACAAATCCTTTCGATTGCATAATTATTTGCAAAAAAGTTCTAAATTGAGTATTAAACAGAGAAAAATATGTAAATTATGGTGCTGTAAAAGTTACAAAAAGCTTAAGGATGTAGATGAAACTTCAATTGGTCTTAGGTTATTGTGTACATTTTTAATAAAGCATCATAATAAGCCATGTTTTGTTCTTATAGATAATGTTGATTTTTTTACAAAGACTGATACAATAACAGCGACTTTGTTAGAAGATTATGAAATTATCGTTTTGTTTATGAGGAAAATGTTATTATTCTTAAAAAACAATCAATTAGTTGATAAAGTATTTATGACCGGAAAAACTGAGTATGCTGTTCATATTATAATGCCTTCGTGTATACTAATACAACCGTTCTATAAATTTCATCAGTTTACTGATTATTATGGATTAACTGTGAATGAGTTGGAGTATCTTTTCAAAAAATCAGAGTTTAAAGATGTTTCAACGACAATAAAAGAAGTAAAAGCTTATTATGGTTCATATAATAAAATTGATCCAAGTACAAAAATAAAGAAGGAAATATATTGCACATGGTCAATTTTAAGTGTTTTAAAATTTAAAAAACTTGGCAACTATTGGAGAGACTTTGGAAATTTTTTTTGTGGTCTTTCAAATCCAACTATTAACAATACGATGCAACTAATACTAACTAATGATCATAATATGCTGGCTATGTTCTACCCTAATTCAGACAAAAAATCTCTGCCGATCAACCCTATAGTTATTGCAACATCCGGAATCCCTACTAGGAAATCATTAGATTATTTTTACCATATGTTGATGGACTTAGGTTATCTGACTACAAGTCCATCTTCAGTATTGGTTGAAGCCATACATAATAATATAAGCACTTGTATAGGATATGTAGAAGTACCAAATCAGGAAGTGAGAAATGATATTGTAGATAAAATATCATTGCTATCTTAAAAATTATACTTAATTATTTTATTTAATAATATATGTTTGTGTACACTGTACAATCCTATTTTAAATAATATTTTTGATGATTCCTCTAAGCTGTGTATCTATAGCTAAATATGATTATTTTGTTTTTATTCTCAACAAATCCATTAAATATTTTTTAAGCAACCAATTGTGTATTAAAATAAGTTTAAACTACAAATTTATATTTTTAAGGCTTGAATAGTACAATTATTGTTATATATTTATGTTTATTTAATTTTATATTACAAAATGGGCCTTGGTCCAAAGTACAGTACAAAATATGTGTATTCAAAAGACAAATATAAGCTCTAAACATTATTTATATAATATTAACAAAAACAAAAAGACGGGTGCTCGTTAGTAGTAAGCAGCATCCTAAACATTGGTCTATTACAAGAATAATAGACCAATGTCTATATGTTATATTAATTTTAATAATTTTTATGTGTGTAGCAAAATTATTCTTCTTCACAATTAAAACATATATACAAATAACCTTTGCCATTGAAGTTCATATATGCTTTTAAAATAAATATTTTTACATCATTATTGTGTATCATGGGCGAGATATTATGTATATATATAAATATAATTGTTATACTGAAATGTAATATGAATAATTATTTATACATTTAATTGTATTGTATTACCCAATATAAGAGATATGTGGAAATCTATGTTTTTCTCTTAAAAATAAATACATGTTAATTCATAATAATAAATGACCTATGTTGATTTATAAAGAATGTATTTCAATTTCAATAGATATATTTTAAATGTACAAATAAAAAATAAATGGTTTGTCTCCAAAAGCTTATTGGAAGACACGAAATTTCTAAAAATTTCTCCTATCCTGATTATTATTTCTATTATGGCTTATTTTTCGAAAATAATTGAATGAATGTATCCTGATTTATTTGAGCTTAGCACAGTCACTCTGGAACTAAAGTCCAGCGAAAGTTCCAATAAAACCAACTATAGACCTATATTGATATTAAGCCATATAGCTAAACTCTTTGATTCATTTATATTATTTTCTATTAGGCCAGCTATTAATTCAGTTTTAATTCAAGTTTTAATTCAAGTTGGGCATCTCTCTCCCTTGTTATTTGTATTATTTATTAATGCTGTTAAAAGAGCTATTGTTAACAGTCAATTCCTACTATTTGCAGATCAATTAAAATTATTTCTAAAAATGAATTCGTAAATGACTACTTGCTTTTACAAGGCAATCTCAATTTGTTAGTCAGATGAGTTAAAAGTTGTGGGTTGGAACTTGATATTTCAAAATGTCGTTTAAACTCGTGAGTGTATTCGTAATTATTTTCTATAAATGATAATGTATAGTTATTTGGAGGTAATGAGATTACTGATTTGTGTATTCTATTTGATCATGAGTTAAATTTTCATGCCCACTTAGATAAAATGTGTTTTAAAGCATTAAAAATCTTAGGTTTTATAAAAATAATTTGTAATGAATTTAAATTAGTGACTCCTTTATAATCCTTAAATTGTGTATCGGTGAGATCAATTTTGGAATATGGAGCTGTTGTGGGGGATCCTGATACGACTTGCAAGATGAATCAAATTGAACTTGTTCAACTAAAGTTTCTTAATTTTGTTGAGTATAAATTAAAAATTAATCACCCACCTTTTTCAATTTAATCCAAATTGCACACAAATATTTATTGATTTAATGTCACAAAATCACTGAGTGTGACGCAAACAATGAGTCAGTTATCTATAACTGTTACACTTAGAAACAACTAATTGTAACATTGAATGTATTTTTAAATTAATTAGATTTCGTAGATAGTGCATATTTTTATTAGTCGATAATTCATGGATTTATCATAATAATAATCTATCAGAGATCAAAAGTTTAATGAATATGATTTTGTTGAAAATAATGGATCTATCATATTATATAACATATTATAACTTAATGTTTAATCTTGATTATTGTATATAAATTATTTGATTTGGATAATGGATTTTTTTTCACATAAAAAAACACTTAAACACCCTGAAGTAATAATCTATGGACATTAAAATTGATCATGAATTTAAATGGCGTTAATGACCTATACAAATTTTACCACTGAATCGTTTCTGATGTAAATGAGAAAAATATCTATGACATTACAGTTCATTTTTATTAAATTTATTAATTTATAGGTTCTTGTTCAGAGTAGCCATAGTTCAGGGACTTGGCAAAACTTGAAATTTTTTAGAAGCTTGTCTAATTTCTATCCATCCAAAACGTCATTAAAGTTATTAACTGTTATATTTTTTACTATCTACCTGTCTTAGTAAATACTAAAATACTAGGTTATTACTCATTAATAATCATCTACCTGCCCTAAAAAAAACTCAGAATCAGTCATGATTAACAATTTTGCCACACCACTGAACTATGATCGTGATCATCGTACAGAAAATATGTCTTAATCATAAAAGTCTTTCATATAATTTTGAAAAAATTGTGTGAGAAACTTGGTACAAAAATGTAGATTATTACTGATCATATAGATAAAATCAAAACTGTCAAGTAACTACGTAATTTTAAAAAATTAGAGCATCAGTGTATTACAAAATTATAACCTTGGATTGGAAAGATGAATTGGGCAAACTAATTCAACAGAAATAATTAATAAACCGTGGTTTTTTTACACCTTTGTTGTTCTATAGCTTTTAAAATTGATTTTCCAAATCAGGGAAAACAATTAAAATGTTGACAAAGTCAGGTCCGGATAATAAAACACAAATTGCATTATTTACCATCAAAATACAATTGCCTTCCGTTCCAAGTATTTGATTCATAATAAATTAATATATTTTATAAGATAATGCTTACTGTTTTTTCTTGTGTATTCTTAATATCCTTCAACCTTCATGAAGGTTTAAATTTATATCAGGCTATGTTAACCTACATAAGTTAATATGGTCACCACTACTTACTCAGTTCAATAATAATAATAATAAGGACATGGTATTTTGCAAAATGTTCAAGGCGTTGACCACAATGAAATTATTAGCTAATGATTTAATTTGTTGATGTGTACCGGCACTTTGTTATCCTTTGCGAGGAGAGTATTTTATAGTATTTATATTAAGATGATGTTATACAATATTTATTTCTCTCTCAGACTCAAGCACAAGAAAGATAGTTTTTCACCTAAAATCGTTTTTTATGATTTTTGAGTAACCTTATACTAAAATCACATATCACAAAAATTGTAGATGGTAATATTTTTGAGGGTATAACATATTGGTTTTATATTTTATTATTATTCTATTTATAGAAATTTTTTTTTTTAAATTTAAATGATGTTTAAATTGTTTTGAGACAATAATAAGACAAATCGATATATCATTCCCTTAAAAATATTATTCTTCATCGATTTTGTAATGGGTGATTTTACTCTTAGATTATTCTAAAACAAAAAAAAATTCTGCGTAAATGCGATTTGTCTATGTTGCGCGTGGGCTGGAGAAAGAAAACAAACAGTGCTCTGACTTCCTCTTTAAGAAGATTGTCAAATGAATAATAGAGTGTTTCTTGACTATGCACACTAAAAATTATCAAATTATACTTAATATTATTAAATCTAATTACATGGATTTTCTGTACAACAAAATGAGGTTCTGCCTGGTCGTTTCTACATACTAGACTAACTATGAGCCATGTGACCAAAGAGCCTCTATCTCTAACAACAGGGTGGGAATTGCTAGATTTGTAGATTCAAGCCCAAGTATTTGATCCCATTGTCAAGTGTACCTGTGCACACATAATATGTTATAATATTACTCGACAATGTGTACTCGCAATATTGTTCCTATTACTTAAAGTTGGTTGAAAAAAAACAATTTAAATTTATGTATTTAAAATAAATACCTACTCATGTGGATTTTTTTTTAAAAATGGATTTTCGTCCCTTGGTACAGTAATCAAATTAGTATCTACCTAGTTAGTATGTGAGTACTCACATGCAAACAATGTAATTCTGTTAGTATTAAAAAAAATATAGCACCAAATCTATTACTAAATATTTAGTTGTATTTTGGCTTAACAGCGACTATCCTCAGGTGTAAATATTGAAGGTATGGCACATTTTTATGTGGACATATTTTTGTTTATAGGTAAATATAGTAAGTAGGTACCTATAGTCCAATTATTATTTTGACCCGATAATTAATTTTCAAATCATTAAAAAATGTATAATGAATAACTACTGTCAACTTCAGTCCATTACTTGAAGGAATCTATGAAGAATATACATAGGTGACTGATACATCATTTACATATCCAATTATATAATAATATATTCATTACACAAAATAGTTATAGAAGGAAAAAACCAATACAATTTATTTTAAATATGGATACAATAATAGTACTTATTTATATAATGATTGAAATAATTGTTTATTCTGAAGTTTTACCCTTATATATTATATTTAATACTAGGTATATATTTAAAAATTAAAAAAAAAATTTTTTTTTTATATTGTAAAATAGATTGTTAATATTAGGTACCTACTACTAAAATCTATAGAATCAGATGAAAACATTGTGGGTATCAAGTATAAAGATAAATATGTATATTGTTTTAACACACACAGCAGTAGGTAAGTATAATTTAATTTATTACTATTTACGAATACATAATTTGCTTTAAATTTTAGTGAAAAATAAATGTTTTATATAAAAAGTACAAAAATTTACTAAATACCAATTCCAATAAATCTAGATTCAAAATAAGTATGTTCAACACAATTTGAAAACAAATAAAAATGGAAGTATTAAAATAAATGGAATTATTATACACAAAATTAACATAGGTAACAAAATAATAAACTATTGTAAATAGAAAATGTTTGCATCCATTAATAATAAGTAATTAATTAAATAGGTAGTTAGTAACTATTATAATTATTATCTATGTTACTAATTAAATGTGTTTATGATGGAAGTTTTGCTTATATACCTAAATGTATCATGTATAGGTATATTTATATTAAAAATAATTATAAATTAGATTTTATATAACATTCCAAACTATGCTGTTATAAATTGGAGCCAACTGGCAGGTATAAATAAAAATATGTGTACAATAAATGTTTACGTTTTTAAACAATTTAAATTAATACCACTAATATTATAACTGTTACAGTTGCCTGTTTGGTTTTTAAAAATAAAAATTGACGCATTATGGCAATTTTCATAAAACCTTTTACAGGTTTTTAGTTCTTAGTTGAAGGTAGTTGAAAATAATCATATAAAAATTAAAAATATTAACATTATTTTATCGATTTACAAGAAAAAGTTCCAGATAAAAATATAATATATTATACATAACTAATAAAAATTGGAATACATGTCCGTACAATTATTATAACAGTAATGACATAATTATTACATGCTATATTCATGATCATATTATGAATAAAATTTGTTAATTTTTTAAATTGACTAGAAATAATAACACAGACGTATTCTGTTAATACATTGATTTCAATTTAAGCCGCTTTTAGTTTTTGATTTTTCAGTGCGGCCTTATCTGGACGAGCTAAAACAATAG